TGTGTTAACAAGGATAACATCTTTGAAAGCTTCGCTCAAAGAACTCTCACAAGGATTTTGAAAGCCATACGATGTGGTCATTTTAAGTAAACACAACATTCAAATATTATGTTTACGGCTTTACTTGCTTTAGTATTTAGGCCCCAAAAATCCCAGAAAAGGTCCACAAATTCGACATACATATCTGTTAACACGTTAATTGCCAGTTTGTGTTCGCTTCGATTCAGTGTTTGATTCCAGTTCAGCGTCGCATCACTAAGCCATGGCCATTGCATTGAAACTCGTTATGCGACCAATATCCATCATCCATTTTCAAACCAAAATACAAACTAAGTCGTTTCTTTCACAAGGCCATTTAGCGAAGAAAGCGGAAGATGATTTTAAAATCCATGGGTAGGTATTTCTGCCACCTCATCAAGATTCCCACAACAACAAAACTCCCGCCATCTTTGGTGTTTAACGATAACTTGGAGTCTACAATTTTGGTCAGCGGTTGGCCACACCTGGCTATGCCGCTTACAAATTGAAATAAGTTTGCAGAAGTTACGGTGATAAAACTGAAAAAATATATATATTTTAACCCTGATGATGCCTTTGATCGGCGAAAACTCATATTTATATAAATATACAGCAGTGAAAGTTCTCATACGAACTAATGTTTTGCTTTTCCTCACTGGGTATCAGATCTTTTAAACTCAATTTTCGCACTTGGAGGCAAAAATCAAGACTTAAATGAAAAACTTCTAACTGGCCTCTTTATAACCATTTCAACCATGCAAAACTTTTCTAATGAGTCAATTTCACATTAGGGTGAGAATAAAAAGCAGCCTCGTTCCCAGGCTCCTCTCCTAGTTGTCCTCGCTATGGGGGACGAGTAGGAGAGGACCCTGGAAATGCGGTTGGTTAAAACGATGTTTTTAAATTTTTGCTTGAAAAAACGAAAGCAGAGCCGTCCGACCCTCTTCTAGATCTTATCCAGCTGATCCAGGCTTACTCTAAAGCTCCAAGTTCGATGTTATATTTTCATTCATTTTTTGTCGCGATAGTGCCTCTTCAAGCATGGCGATTTCTTCAACATCTTTATCTTCCGCATCTCTGGAGAATCTTCCACTTCGGTACAAAACGCTGAGGCGGGAGAAGTAGCTTGTGACTTGCTGTGCCGTCAGCCATTCAGATTTTTTGAACATTTTCACTGCATCTGGGTTGCGTACGCTGCGGAGTTGGGAAGAAACGTCCGCCGGGTTGGCCTTTTGCCCTGTTTCTTCGCCCTTAAAGAACAGATCATTAAGGAAGGCTTCAACTGGTGGAGAAAAACGCACCGCGGCTTTTGCCTTTTTCTTGGCCCAACCTTTCTCGGAGATGGAGATGGCCGCTGGCAGTACTCCTCTTTCTTGGTCTGTTAAATCTGTAGTCTTGCACGTCAGTTCCTTCACACTGCCAACGTCAATACATCTCGACACCCACTTGCACTTAATTTCGTCATAGGAACCCTCTTTATGGATATAGTAGAAGTGTTTGCCCGCGTCCAGGTGCTTCTCAAGGGTATTACTCGAAACAAATACTTTCACACAGCCAACTTCAGGGCAAGGAAATCCTGGCTTTGGGGCTTGACAATCAGTATCAAGGACATTCTCGGTCTTATCTCCACCTTGTGGCTCACGTTTGCGCGTTTCTGGTTTCTTGAAAACACCTGTATCGGCTATTGGGTTGCTGAAGTCTTCGTGTACAACTAGACCAGTTTTCCCCTGTTCCTTAGCCATTTGTTTTAGCTCTTGGTTACGTATCAACTTTCCTTTGCCAATTCCGTACGCTTTCCACACTCTGACACCACCTCGCAGAAACTCGAAGTTGTTGTAGGATTGGATGCCCGTCCACTTGTGATGTTCTATTTCTTGTCGGCTGGTGTCCACACTGACAACAGCAACGCGGCATCCCTTCACACCGCCATATGAGTCCAGAGCCCTCTTCATATCAGATGCTGTGTTTATATCATTTCCTTCGTTCAAATATCGACGCATGTGGCTTTTCATGGTCGCAATTCGCCTGTCGCAGATGTCTTTCCCAGACTGTGGTTCACTAAAGTCGTACCGCCTTAATGTGACACCCACTCTCTTTGAAATCGATGGAACGGCTAGCATCAGGGGCCCGCAATGATAACACCCTGCATTATCAGACCTCAAAAATGCCTCTTTTAAACTTGGCCGTGATTTCTTTAGTTGAACAAGGACATGCTCGATCAGCGAAGCGACGGCGAACCAGTTTTGAGCAGTCTGATCAAAGATGTGGACAAACGTCTTAACCTAGGAAAAAAAAGTTCGCTCTAGGTAAGGTAAAAAAGCAAGAATTGATTTCTGTAAAATTCAAATAGGCTAAATGAAATTTTTTTGTAATGTGAAATTTGGCATGAGTAATAATGATGATGATAATAACAAGGCAGGATAACCCAGCACTACAATTCAATGGGTACTGGTTTTGTGTTATCTAATTATAATTAGTTAACCTTTGTTTAAAATTAACTTTAAACTGTTGAGCATCAAACACCTAAGAAAAAGGAAGCTTTGCCCGTCAAACACTAGCTTCACTGATCGTTTCTTATCCTTACCTATACCATGATCAGATATTACGACATCATTATTCTTAACTGGGATCCATACCTCAAGTTCTTCTTCGGCAGATATTGTAATTGCCGCAGACACATGCCAGGATTTTCCCTTTTTGCCAAACCATTCTGATTGACTTTCTCGAAAACTTACAGGCAAAAACTTCATCGCCCAATCCATGATAATAAATATTTGACTGGACGACAGTTTCTCAAGGACAGTAGACTTGGCTGCGTCTTGGTGTGCAGTTCTCATTAAATGATCTTTCCAGTCACGAATCTTTTTAATTGCTATCTCGACTTCATGGGGTATCTCTTCTTGTTGGTCTTTACTATAGTAAGAAATAACTCAGTTAAAAAAAATGTTGAATTTTGCAATGCATGAACGACAAATCCACTCATGTCAGCTATTTTCAGCGTCCTCAGGATAGACTAACAATGCGTCTCACAAAAAAAATACGCGAGGTTCGGAATTATTAAAGAAATTACATCACGAAAATTAAAGACGAACCATTAGAAAAGTTAAAAGCGGCGAAAGGTGTGCGAAGTAAAAACAAATATTCAAGGCAACATAATTCGAGAGCGAGAAACCGGGATGAAAAGTCTTGCATTAAACTTGCAACTTAAAATCCCTTCGCCTTCCGTTCCCAATTTTTAAATGGTGCTTCCCTTACCTATAAAGAATTTATGTAGAAATAGCGCAACTCGACCAGTTCCCAGATGTGCGTAATATAATTTTCTCCGGGTGGTCAGGCCATTTTCCACTAACACACTCATTAAGATATTTATAAAACCTAACTGCCGAAAAAACCGTACCTCAGCTGTGCTTTCTCTGAAGATATTGCTACGTCAATTTCAGTTAGTGTGTTTTCCAGAACTTCGCAGCGATCACATGTTACATCGTGTTTGTGACGACATGGCTCATGGAATTCTGGCTCCGCGTCAGATAATGCGTGCTTTCGACAATGATCAGTACAGCGGCTATCCTCAGCAATGTGAAGTTTGTAATCTGTTTTGAGGTAGAGTTTACTACTTTTCAGTCTTTCTTGGATTTCCTTAGCCCACGCATTTGATTTACCTGTTGAAAAGAAAACCGTAAGTAAGAATGTAAGAGTGGCTGTCTTTCACTCTATCTCGCCATTCTATCAAGAAATCTAGCTTTTTAAAATCGATTAATAGTTAAGCAAACGGTATTTGGACACTTGTATTTTGTTGCTCATTCTGCAATCGCCACAGATATAATGGCGAAAACAATAGCGCACCCACGCCTTTACAACAACACTTCACCACACACTACTGACCCCTTCGGTCACTTACTAGCCTGCATAACATGCGCTTTATAACCAAGCGAGGTGAACGCGGCAGTTTGCGCGAAGAGCGAGACGAGGGGAGGAGAAAAATAAAGCGCCTGTAACCAGTCCATTGTTTCTCCCCCTCGTCTCGCGCTTCGTGCAAAATGCTACGTTCGCTTCGCTTGGCCCATAAAGCGCCTCTTATGCGGGTTAGTCATTTACCACTGTGCATCGCGCTGCGCATCTGAAAACAACACGCGTCATCAGGCCGCGAGAAATACTGTCGGTGCGTCGCGTAATCTAATAACGTGCTCTTTCATGATGCGTCAAACGTTTTTAAGAAGTTTATTTTTGATGTGCTCTACCTGCTTTGGCCAGCTGTGAGGCAACGTCGTGTAATGTCTGCATTGATGATAACCCTTCAGTGGTAATATTGTCAAGGCCAGCGAGAGATTTCTTCTGGGATGCCGCACAAAGCTTACAACATCAAAGTTGGAACTTGGCATAAGTACAGTATACCATGAACATTAGTTGCTTTCTATTGTCAGTGGGGAGGGCGAGGAGAAAAGTTCATGCACAACTCCGTGAATATTTGGATTTAGTTCCCGTATAACTATTGTCTTTGAATATGTAAATCAGACAACCTTTTGTTTGAGAGCATACTTTGCTCTCATTATTCCCAAGGTCAAGTAAAAACGTATTTTTTTTCTTTTTTTGGAGGGGAAAACCAGAATGTTACCTCTAAGGTACGTTCCTACAAAGCGTGTTCAGGTACGTAGTCCATAAATTGAGCAAAAATGAGTTTTCGTTTCTTATATGTACACCGAAGGTAATTTCTCTATATTGTGTTCTCTGGAAAAGGAAAACAATTCTCTTAGTGTAAGGCATGCGACAACCTGAACATACTTAGAAAAGTCTAAGAAAACCAGCTTCGATCCTAAACATACCCGTCTTTAAGGTACAAATCAATTGTGACCCTCCACAGGATTTTAATGCTAAAGGTGAAAGCACGCGCACGACACGCTTTCACTTTAAAACAAAAGAATATGTTTTAACACGCTTTAGCACGCTTGCAATCTTGATTCATTAGCAATTTCTTTTGTTTCAGAGGACACGCTTGAGACAATTAAGCGTGAGCAAGTCGAACTAAAGAGCGTGTTAAAGTTTTCAAACAAAAGCTCCGTGCGAAAAAGCACAACACACTTTCAGTGTGCGCAAAAGCACACAAGGCGTGTTATCTATAAGCTAAATATATTTCCTCTACAAAAAGGAACCGTAAATGATTATGAACGGCACCCTTTTTTGGTAACTATCGAGAAAGAAAAAGTTCTAACCCAGCGATCGCAGCGATAGTATCTGATTGAAATAACGTTGTCGCTTGAAAAGTAGAAACAGTGAACGGTGGGACCTACTGGATTTATGAGTAGAACTATATTAGCACTGCAAAATCAAAGGTCTTTCCAGAAATGTTTGCTGACGAAGTTGTGCAAAGGTTATCTAAACTTTCCTTAATTTAAAAGACATTTGCAGTTTTCTCAGAAACAATGATCTTTCGGACATAAGTCACTTTCTCGCCGATCACAGCAATCGCAGCGATCAAATAGAAATCATCAAGTGCCAGGATCGCTAAATTGTATTCATTTTTTAGCGATTGCAAGGATCGTATTGATCAAATGAAAATCCAGCCTGCTTTTCTAGATGTACCAAAATTCCAAAACGGTTTCAATGTTGCTTAATTGATCCGGCCGGCAATAACACAAAAAGCGAAACCGGTATTTAAACAATGTATGGAAATTTGTTCTTCTTGAAATATTACATCCCGTATGCTTCAGTCTTATTGTCCAAATTCCGTAATCATCATGTTGTCTTTCTTGTGGTTGCCGCATCATCTTACCAGTTTTAGTAATCAAGCGTGTTCAGCGTGTCTTACCCAAACTGCACGCTAAGCGTGTTATAATTCGCACACTTACCGTGACATATGGCACGCTACAAAAAACAAAAGGTCTAGCGTGTTAAATTTACCAAACAAATGCAAGTGTGTCCGTCTTTGTTTTTTCAATTTAATATGCGCATATCCGCGATCTACGGCACGCTAAGCGTGTCGTGCAAGCGTGTCGTGAGCGTGCTTTCACCTTTAGCATCAAATTTCTGTGGAGGGTCACAATTGTTATAGGGATGTACCTTTAGCATGGTGAACAGCGTTGACCTTCCCAGTGGCATAAATTCCTCTTCTTTACAAAACGAAAGATAAAGGTTCACTAGCCTTGTTGCTGTAACTTTCCGTACAACATTGGGGATTTCCATATGCTCGCCATTTGAAAGTTTCAGAACCTTGGTACCAAATGCAACGTCTTGCAAATAATGAGGACTAGCTATAAAATCAATGAAGTGGTCCACCCTTACAGGATCTAAGCGTGTGCGACGTATCTCAGGTGGGTCTTTCGGCCGTCCTGGTCCAACGAGCGCGGCATGCTTTCGAGCCTGATCAATACGCCATTTGCTCAGACCTGGAATCGTTTCCTTAAGCTGAGACTTGGAATAATCCTGTACAAATATTGAGAGAATTTCCTGCTTGATAAACCAAGAGTTTGATTCATCATAAAGAATCAAAAGTTTCTGAAGAATCTTTTGTTCATTTAGGCTAGAGGAACGGTTAATATAAGAAATTTTATCGCTGGTCATGAGTTGAAAAAGAGCTTGAGATTGCCCTGGTGCAATACAGTCCAAGACTGCCTCACACACCTGCTGTGATTTTCTCTTGTAATATCGAGATGTACTGTTTGCAACGTCACTCAAAGGGCTATGTAACTCACCTCTCACCGGGCTTACTTCACGGGCGGTAACGCGTGTAATGAATGTGTTTAATGAAGACAGGTTTGCCTTGACCTCTGGTGTAGGCATCCATTCTTTTCCGCCAGGAGTGTTAAGACTGCAAATGGAGTCTTGTTCTGGTTCCAAATCCGGAGGGTCAAAACTTTCAGATAAACTGGTTTTACAGAGAATATCGCCACCCGTCAGGTTAACGCTGTCCGAAATCTAAAAAAGAAATTGTGCCATAATGTGATTTCATTTAATTTTCAAGTATACAATGATTCATCTGCGTGAAGAGGATTTGGAAGTTCTATCTCACTGTTTAATAATAGGGCAAAATAGTATTACCGTCTCTTCCTGCTGTGGACTTCCTTCGTATTTCAGCTTCGTTATGCATTCTTTGTTTTGCGGGCTAGCCAATTCCTGTGAGCGAATGAATTATGAAAAAGAAATGATCAATTTTTTTATCCACTGCAACAGTTTGGGATACATTCAAAGATTTTCAGGCAAAAGCAAGAGAAAAATGATCCAGTTGCAGCCGATGTAATTGAATTAACATGCAAATAAACTTCGTTACCCCTTCTTTGAATTCCCTAATCTCTTCGTGTGTCCTGCATAGTGATGTACCTGAAAATTCCTCTTCAAGGCTTATTGACTCCTGTGATGATAAACCATTTAAGGAATAAATAAAAAAGTAGGGTTTTAAGGTTTTCGGTAGATTTTTTTAAAAGAAAGGGTTTGAATTCTGGAACGGGATTGCTGATAAAACAGTTTTCAACCCATCTGTTTATCTTTTTCATTTTTTAAATATTTTCAGTAAAACATTTATTAGCTTAAAATCATATTGATTTTTGTATTTTCAAAAAATGCTTAGACCATCTTGAACATGATATTTTGTGTTTTTTCTTAAGTTCCTAGTAGTAATAGGCAGTCACAGTCATGATAATTGGCTGTTCTCACTCTAGAGACGAACATTCCGTTTTCAAAATTTTAAATGCAAGGATGAACAATTTTCAAAATAAATAAATAAATACAGGTTATTCGTCCAGAAAGGAAATCATTCCTTTTCTCAGCCACTATAAGGCGAGTAATCCGTCTGATAATCCGTCGACCCTGGTGTAAAAATCGAGGGTAAAGGTTTGTTTTTTTCTCTCGCGTGTGCCACACTCACTCTTACTCGCCTTAATACTCATCTCCTCCTGTCTCACGTCCCATAAAGACCGCTGACAAACATCATCGTCAGCAAATCTGTCAAATGCACTTCCAATTGCCTTCACCTTTTTCTGGTGCTCAATTGTTAAACTACGAAATAGGGGTTTTTGAGTGCGTTTTCTCCCAAGGTTTCAATCTAAGACGCTTCAGCGGCTAAAGTTGACACATACCAGTTGCTGCATAGGGCATGTAGAAAGAGTGCGTCCTTCCATATCCAATTGTTCTACCTCTCTGTGGTGTTCTCGACATTGTCTACATATTCCTAGGTTTTATAAAATAAAACGAGGCCAGAGTCTTACACCGTTGCCACGCTTACATGTTATACAAGATTTGTCAATCCCTGGACGAAGTGCTTGCAATTAAAATAAAGGGGTAGTAGTCTTGATTACTAATCATAGAAAATAAATATGCCGTTATGAGCCTCTTTGAAAAGGCGACGAATTTTCATTCCACGACATCAGAGCTCTAGTACGTGAGCAAACTTTAAATTGAGACAAGCCTTCACCATGTTCAAAGATGTTTTTAAAATGTTTACTTTTTGTTACGAGAAAATCTATAAGTGAAGCATAGTTTCTATTCCCGACGTCCGAAATGAAATAATTTAATTAACTGATTTTTGCCGAGGCATGTATTTGCAAAAACGAGTGCTCCTAGAACAAAATGTCAAGGAATCTTGTAAAGGGTTTAGTATGTATTAAATGCGAAAGCAAACTCCTCTCCGCAGTGCCTAAATCACGTTTCAACTTGTGACTGAAGTAGCGTTTTGTAATTGCCTAGAGTTCCAGAAAGTTCTTGAATGTGATCAGCGCCGGTATCATATTAATCTACAGTAATTGAATTAGCAGTAACAACGCAAAAGTGGGTGTTGTTTGCATATCGTAATAAGATACCTAATACCTAATACGCATTTGCCAAAGATCGCTCGAAGTTTGAAAAAAAATGCTGTAATTCAGATAACTAACTTTGCCAGAATATTAATTTTTCTATAGAAATGCAACTTAAAATAGCATTGAAATTTAAGGCAGATAGTATTTTAAAATCAGCTTACCTGAACCGATGGGAAGTAAAGTATTCCATCTTCTCATGACTTCCACTGAGGTCTTTTTAGAGACGCCTTTATCGCATGTTAGTTTCCTTCCTTCAGGATGCATACGATGTTTACATAAACGCGAAGGGCGCCGTGAAAGGCCAAGAGAATCACGATGTTTTGGGCACACGGTCATCCCTTCCCCCTCCTTGTCGAAAATTCCAGCTCTTAATAAAATTAATTCTGCTTCTGTTAATACCGAAGAACTGGACACTTTGACCTTCTTTAAGTGCACTCTAACATCTCTCGTACACGACAAGAGTGGTATGATTTCCTTTATCAAGGGGTACCTGGCCGAAAACCCACAGTCTGTGTTAACTTTACTCCCAAGTGAGCACTTTAGCATGATTTCCACCCTGGCCTATTTTACACGTGGAAAGGAAATGCGCGCGAAACCGCGGGGAGAATCCGGTAGGTACTTCATGTATGGGGACATATATTGTATCGCTTTTACCTAATTAACTTATAACTTCACTCTTTCTGCTTGGTTCCTTGTTGCCTTGAAGCTTTGTTCTCTGTTAACTTGTTGCTCTGTTTCCTTGTTTCCTTGTTACCCTGTTACTCTGTTACCTTGTTAAATTGTTACCTTGTTACCTTGTTACCTTAAGCACTACACAGTGCATGTATCATTCTAAACTTTGACTGAGTAAATCTCACACTAGGCTTAACATTAAAAGGTCATGAAGATGGTTTGTTACACGCATACTGAGTAACCATTTCCTGTGGTTTATTTATTTTTCTGTAGGTGTTCCTGATAGGATTTGATCTCAGATGCAGTTGTAAAGTGCTTTAATTTTCGTTGACCTTTGTTTCTTACGGCTAAATAAAGACAATTCCAGCGCTGTGAAGTTTAAAGACGCAATTTCGGCAATTTGGTCATCAATTATGCTCTTTTTAAAGGGGAAACCACAATCACTTAAATCTTTTCCAGTTTCCTATCTGCTCCGTTAATTGGGAAATATATGCGAATGATCATCTAACATGATTCACATATGTATGGCCCTCGACCAATCCGTTTCTCCGCACACTGGTGTGCGGACTATTCAAAATACCGGGGTTTTCTGGCAGGCGGTATTTCAACCGCCTCGTCCCTACTCCTTTTTTTTGGAACACGGCTCCGCCGCCAAAAGTTTAATCTCGCATCCACACAATACCGCCGGCTACGCAGGCTACTCCGATGCATCAACGGGTTCAACCGGCCGAATAGTGTGATGGCTAACTTTTGGAGCAGTTTGTTCGTGGTCTAACACTACTAAATTTCGAGCATTAGTGGTGGGGTACTCTAAATGTCACTATTGGATAGCATTACCATGGGCCCATAAAATAGACTACATCTTTAGATTTTGCCTTTTTTGAAAGTATGTAAAAAATAATTTATACACTAATAATGTAGAATGGGTTGTAATAAAATAATTCATGATGAACTAAAGGAAATGAGTCAGTTAGTTTGTGACTTATGTGGTCAACAATTATTTTGAGAGCTTATACAAGGATGAACCATGCTGCAAAAATATATAAGGCGAAACTGTAAATTTTATTGCCTGAAAAAAAAAAAGATTGAGTTTGTTCGTGGTCTAACACTACTAAATTTCGAGCATTAGTGGTGGGGTACTCTAAATGTCACTATTGGATAGCATTACCATGGGCCCATAAAATAGACTACATCTTTGGATTTTGCCTTTTTTGAAAGTATGTTAAAAATAATTTATACACTAATAATGTAGAATGGGTTGTAATAAAATAATTCATGATGAACTAAAGGAAATGAGTCAGTTAGTTTGTGACATGTGGTCAACAATTATTTTGAGAGCTTATACAAGGATGAACCATACTGCAAAAATATATAAGGCGAAACTGTAAATTTTATTGCCTGAAGAAAAAAAAGATTTTCTTTCCTACCTACTGCTGCATATTTTTTCTTGATCATTTAATTCAAAACAACAACAAAACTTATCAACCAACAAAACAAACCGACTGAACGTCAACCTTATCAACGACAAAATCATCACACTTTTGTCAGCGGTCTCACTGTAACGTATACAAGGAGAATGCATTATCAATTCGTTCTCCTTTCTCGCCCAGCGCGCGTGCTGTTCATAACCGGTTGTTCTCCTAAAACCGGTTTTTACACGCTGTGCCGTTCTTCTCCTTATGGTTCCTTACGCTCAAAAACCTGCCATTCAGAGGCCAAGGGCTGACCAGGATGCCATGCTGCTCAACCAGTTGTCTCGCAAGTTGAGCCGCCACCGGCGGCCGAACCTGCTCCATTACCGGAGGAGAATTCAAATCCTCCACCCGAACAACTTTATGTATTTCCTTTTTTTCCTGTGTTATTGTGCTCCTTCTTTGTTTTTTTTTCCCCGTTTTGTTCGCTCGCGCCCTTTAGATTCCAGTTTATTTACAAGTAGTTTCTACGCGTTTGTGCTGGGTTTTGCCTAGAGCGTAAGAAGCTAGGGCGTTGAAACGAGCGGGGTCGAGCGATCTAACTGTAATGCAAGGGTCTGGGTACTACGAAAGAGACAAACAAGATGGCGGACATTATACTGGACCGTCAGAGAGATTATCCAGCGAAAGTTAGCCATTATCCCGTGGCATTCATTTGCTGCAAGCAATAGCGAAGGAACAAATTATTTTTTCCCACGTTCGTTTTCTGTTTTGTTCAATTTTTCCCCCACGAACAAATATACAGTAATTCCACCTCCGTGACCTGCATTAAAATTCGCGACTAGTGAGAAAATGGCATCACAACTCAGATGATAGCACTGACATCATTTTTAGAGTAATATTATCG